TGAGCAAGAGCGAGACCCCCATCTCTACTATAAATAGAAAGAAATTAGCCAAACGACTGAAAACAGAAAAAAATTAGCCGGGCTCGGTGGCGCGTGCCTGTAGCCCCAACTACTCGGGAGGCTGAGGCAGGAGGATCGCTTGAGCCCAGGAGTTTGAGGTTGCTGTGAGCTAGGCTGATGCCACAGCACTCTAGCCAGGGTAACAGAGCCAGACTCTCTCTCAAAAAAGAAATCCAAATCCTAACACAAAAATAGAATTAAAGAGAAATCTTAAATAGTGTTTTTGGTAGAAAGAATGACCACTTGTGGAAGAATTCAGAACATAACAAACCACTCTTTACACAGGCTACCCAATAGGGCAGCGGTCCCCAACCTTTTTGACGCCAGGGACAGGTTTCATGGAAGACAGTTTTTCCACGGATGGGGAAGGAGGATAGTGGGGGCTGGGCAGTAGGCAGAGCTCAGGGGTGACCCGGCCAGGTTCCTGACAAGCCACAGAGGGGTTGGGGACTGCAGCAATAGGGGATATTAGGGAAATATAAATATAATAGAAATATGTATATTTATAACAGAAATATATAAATATACTTTTCTTGGTGGGCAATGTTAGGTACTCCAGCTTCACTTTAATTTTGTTTATCTTGTGGTGCCTAAAACATAGTTATTTCTCTAAAATAATACATGAATATTCCAAACAGTATCTCTAAGTTGAGGTCTACGAAAAAAAAGATTTTTTTAACATACCGAGGCCTTGCTTTTTAGCTTTCTGTCTCTGGTAGTCTTTCCTTTTTGGTTGCTGGTGAAATAATGCAAAGTTCCATACTCCATCAAGGCTGCAAACACAAAAATGAAACAGACGGAGACAAAGAGGTCCATGGCAGTCACGTAGGAGACCTTTGGCAAGGACTTCCTGGCAATTGTGCTCAGGGTTGTCATCGTCAGAACTGTAGTGATACCTATGGAAAGAGGGGGAAAAATAGAAGATGAAAAATGACAGACCACTCTTATTCTTCCATCTGATTTGGCGATATTGTGTGTGGAAATAATGCAAACAAAAGGACATGATTGCTAGTGATTTACAGAAAGAATTACTAGTAACCATAGCTACGTTATGTCCAATGCGCTCTTTGTGTCTGTGTGAATTTCAATCATCTAAATTACTGTGGGCTGCAAACTGACTCCCAATACCCCTCTTTCCCTTCCTCCACTGCAATAGAGTATTCAGTTTTTAGCTGGTATGAGGCTGCCCAGAAGAACAACTTTGTCACCTTCTCTGTAGCTGTGGGTGGCCACAGGTTAAAATCTAGCCAAAGGGAGCTAAGTCAAGAATGTCCAAAAGATGGCATTTAAGAGATGGCTTTAGAGACCCTTTCCACCTCCCCATCACTTTCTGTTGGAATGCAATGGCCAGAGTAACAGCAACCTTCTTAGACCATTAGATGGTCTTGGGAATTAAAATCACCCACAATACAACCAGAAGCTAGAAGGAGCCTGGCTCTCTCTTACTGAGTATGTGTCATATTGCCTTGAAATACCTACCCCTGGACTTTCACATGAGAAACAAGTATTCCTCTACCTAATGGGAGCAATAGTGATTTGAGGTTTCCTACCATACATACGTTGTTGAAATTAATCAAAACTAATTCAGCATTTCCTTACATGGTAACTTGAATTAAATCTATTTTTAATCTCAAAATGTAAGTGAAGAACACAGACATATTAAGGGAACCTATAAAAGCACAGAGTAAATCTTTTTATTTTTAAGAATTCAGCATATATAACTGGTATGTCCCCCAGGGCCCCATCCCTGTGTGTGTGTCTTTGGGGGTGTTTGTCTCTTTTTATCCATTGGCCGCCTTGTGGTTCTCAACACTCTTCATCGTAGGTCTCCTAATTTACACATCACATGCTGTATCTCTTCTTACTTAAACAGCACAGTTCTGATTCTTTACCCTACCAAATAGGACCCCAGGAGTGGAATTGTTTACTCTCTTAAAAGTACTAAATATAATGCTAGATGTTTCTTCGCTTGGCCAATATTTATAGAGTAGCAAGATCTATGATGAAAAAAATCATTAGAAAGGAGTTGAAGCAAGTCTCTTCGGCATGATGCCGGCAATAACTACTTCTTTCCCTCTTCACTTCACTGAAGTTTGCCCTAACAATTTCTCTCACATGCTCATCTTTTCACTTCATGTTCATCATCTCTTAGGACTGAAAAAAAAATCAAAGATGACACAAATGTGACAGATTTGGAATCATGGAGGCAAATTTAAGTTCCATCTCTGACTCTTCAATGTATTACCTCTGTGTTCTTCAGGAACTTAAAATCTCTGTGCCTCTCATCTAAAAAATGGGTAATATCTTGCTTGGTACTTATAATAAATGTATATAAAAGATACTTATTTTACTTATTCTTAAAGTGGATACTTAGGTTACCGATTTTAAGTTTTCTTCCTTTCTTATATTGCATTTTAAAGCTTTAATTTCCCCTCTAAGCAGTGCTTTAGCTGCATCTCACAGATATTTATATGTTAAGTTCTTATTAAAATTCAGTTTGAAATATTTTCTAATTTCC